ACACACATACACACACACACACATGCTCACACACTTACACATTCACTTGTACACTGAAGAAGTCCAGAGAACCCAGGCTCATCTCCCCTTATTGTTCATGTCATTCAATCTAATAATTCATATTTCTTGTGCTCTGCCAAGTGCTCCCCTTACTGCAGACCAGTGCACTAAGGAGGGCAGAGAAGATTAGCAATGTTTTACAGAAGAGGAAGCTAAGACTCAAAGACACCTTGCCTGACATTCTAAGACATGGCTAGCAAGGATTGCAAATGGGGTTTGAGCTCAGGTCCTCCTGACTCAAAAGGCATGATGAAGCAGGTAACATACCGACATCATGGAACGTCTTTGCAGCTCCCTGTATTTGTCAAGTGCAGAGCATCTGAGGATGGCACCAAGGGTACTGCAGATGCTGAGCTGGGGAAAGAGAAGGCTGAGGGCAAAGGGGATCTGTCACTGCTGGGAAGCATTTAAAGGGCTGTCATGGGGGTGGCAGAGGGGTCAGTCTAGTTCGGCTTGATCCTACAGAGGAGAATGAGGAGCAAAGGGGGAAAGCTTCAGGGAAGCAGCATTCCTGTCAACATGAGAGGAATTTCCTAACTCAGGATGTTGAATAGCATCCTTGGGATCAACTGTGATCTGAGACCATGGAGCTAGGAGATACCTTAGAACATAGAATGTTGGAGGAGATATGGACCTCAGAACACATGATGTCAGAGCTGGGAGGGCCCTTAGAACAGAGGATGAGAGAGCTGCGAGGGCCCTCAGAACACAGAATGGCAGAGCTGGGAGGGGCCTTAGAACACAGGATGTCAGAGCTGGGAGGGGCCTTAGAACACAGGATGTCAGAGCTGGGAGGGCCCTTAGAACACAGAATGTCAGAGCTGGGAGCAGCCTTAGAACCTTAGAATGCAGAGTATCAGAGTATGGTATCTTTTCACTGACTGACCCTCACGCCTCAAATTCTCTTTCTATGCTCTTTTCTCTGAAAATTCCCAGCTTTCTTCAAAGAATCAGTTCAAACCCCACCTTCTGCAGAAGCCCTTTCCCTGATGCTCTGGCCTTCTCTTCAAAGCTTACCTTCTACTTACTCTATATGTTCATTTTTTTTACTTGTCTCCCCCAGTAGAATGTGAGCTCCTTGAGGGCAGGAACTGTTTTTGTTCCTTTTTTTGGTAGCCCTAAAACTTAACACAGTAACTAGCACATAGTAGCACATAAATGAATAGTAACTGACTTTCTGACTGAACTTGGAAAAACGATTCGTATGTGTGGGCCTCAGTTTTCTCTCCTATGAAATGGGAGTAATAATTGTGCTGCTACTTAACCATAGAGACCATAGAGACCAAATGAAATGATGTATATAAAATTCTTTGTAACCATTGTTATTACATAAATGAGTTATATTATATTAATTAATTATGGAGTTAATTATAAACCATCAAAATATTAATGGATAATTATTAATTAGTAAAAGTTGATTAGTATAATTATTTCATTGATTGATAATTAAATTAATAAAAGTTTCATTTATAATAGAATACTTGAAGCAGCACAATGTTCTTAAAAGAACACTGGAAGACTTGCTGTCAGAAAAACCTGGATTCAGATCCCAGCCTTGACAATTATTAGACTTTTGGTCAGTGATCTCTCTGAGTCTCTATTTCTTGATTTGTAAGATCAATCTATAAACATTTATTAAGCACCTACCACATGCCAGGTACTGTGCTAAATGCTGAGGGTAGAAAAAGAGGCAAAACATAGTCCCTGCCCTCAAGGAACTTACAATCTAATATATAGTATAGTATAGTATAATAATGCTTGAAACAGCTTCCTGGCAGGGTTTATGTGTGTGTTGCTAATCATTAAGCATTAGATACCAGATGTCTCAACCACTGTTATCTGATTTCATCAGTCTTGACTTCACTATGACTTAGTAAGTACATAGTCTTTGAGAATTACTGTGGCCTAAAATGTTAACATATCATGGCCTGCATGGTCATACAAGGCCAGATGAGCTAAGTTGGGAATCAGCTGGCAAACCTGGGCTTGTTCATGGGTCCCATATTCAAGAGTTGTTCTAGCTTGGCAGGACCTGCCGTGCCTCAATTTCTACCCACATAACCTTTGAAAACTCCAGCTCTGGGAGGACCGTTGAAACACAGAATGTCAGAGCTAGGAGGGCCCTTAGAACATGGAATGTCCGAGCTGGGAGGGCCCTTAGAATAGAGAATGTCAGAGCTGGGAGGGCCTTAGAACACAGGATGTCAGAGCTGGGAGGACCCTTTGAACACAGAATGTCAGAGCTGGGAGGGCCCTTAGAACACAGGATGTCAGAGCTGGGACGGCCCTTAGAACACAGGATGTCAGAGCTGGGAAGGCCCTTAGAACACAGAATGTCAGAGCTGGGAGGGCCCTTTGAACACAGAATGTCAGAGCTGGGAGGGCCTTTTGAACACAGAATATCAGAGCTGGGAGGACCCTTGGAACACAGGATGGCAGAGCTGGGGGGAGCCTTAGAACATGGAAGTTCAGAGCTGATTGAGTCCTTAGAATATAAAATATCAGAGTTGCAGAGGTACTTTAGAACACAGAATGTCCAGAGCTGAAAGTCAGCATGGTACAGATGAAAGAATACTGGGTCTGGAGTCAGGTGCTCTGGGTTCAGATCCTACCTCTCTTCTTTACTCTCTGTATGTTAAGTGTAAAGTCACTTAACCTAACTGGGCCTCAGTTTCCTTCTTGGTAAAGTGAGGGGGTTGGACTAGATGACTTTCTGTGTCCCCTCCAGCTCTAGTCAGTGAGTCAATAGGCATTTATTAAGTGCCTACTGTGTGCCAGGCACTGTCCCTGCCCTCAAGGAGCTCTACCCTCTTGACCTGATGAATATGAACAATGTAAAAGACTAGAAGGGCCTTAGAACAGGATGTCAGAGTTAGAAAAGATCTTCTAAAGTACCTGGGTCATTTGGGGGGCTGGGAGTGGAAGTTTATGATAGGCGATACTAACTCTCCTTCATTCAGAGTTGCTGCTTATGTCTGTAGATGCCCTGTGGAGATGAAAGGGTGAAGGACCCAGAGATAGAGGGAGAAGAACCATTAAAAAAAATCTTTGGCGAGCACAGACTTGCCATTCGGAATCCCTTCCACCTCCCCAAGCCCAGCCAGCATGAGTCACCTCTCTGGCCCTTCACCTGTTCATTGCAACACATGTGATAGAAACTCCACCATGGAAATGAGCAATAGGAGGCACAGAGAGGTTTTCATCTTTTGGGTAACATCGATAGAGATTTCTTTTTTGATTGACAGCCGGCACCTGCAAGGTTGCCACCCACACAGCTGACTGCAAGGCTGCTGGGAGAAAAGCTATTCCCTTTCCATTAAGGGGAGATTGGGCAGGGACACACCGCTAAGACGAAAGAGTGTTCCCTTCTTGGCTGGGGTCAGGTGAGGCGGGGGTCTCCCTGAGGAACCCCCACACACTGTCCTTGAAAAGAACAGTCATGGAAAGGGCTCACCTCCATTTACCAGGGACATGACTTGAGCCCCAAAACTTCATAATGGCAAAGTCTGATGAAACCTCACTTCCTATACGAAAACAAGGAGTGGGAAAAGGCAAGGCTTTCAGGAAGGCAGGGCAAAGAAACAACCTGCCAAAAAGCTAAAAATGAGAGGTGGGGGGAGACAGACAGTCAAACAGACAGACAAAAACAGAGAGAGACAGAGAGAGGAGGGGGGAGAGGTGGGATAAAGGAGAGAGAAGGGGAGAGGGAGAGAGAAGCGAGAGAAAGAAGAAGAGAAAGAAAGGGAGGGTGAGAAAAGGGAAAGGGAAGGGGAGAGAGAGAGAGAAAGTGAGAGACAGAGGCAAATGAAAGACAGAGACACAGAGAAAGGGATAAAAGTAAGGGGCAAAATGTCAGAGAGAGAGACAGAGAGAGGAACAGACAGAAAGGGAAGAGAGACACACAAAGAGGCAGAGAGAGGGAAAGAGAGAAACAGAGGAGAGAGATAGAGAAGGAGAGGGAGAGGAAGAAAAGATAGAAAGAGTAAGAGACAAAAAGAGGGAAAGAGAGGAGAGAGAGGGAGGGAGGAGGGCATATACCTGTGGCACAGATTTCAGAGACTTATAGAATCACAGGATTTGGGAACTGGAAGCTTCAGACCTAGAATCTAGAAAATAAAAGTGAACAGCATTTTGGAACACGGGATACTAGAATATCATTCTCACTGACACGCATACACACACCACTTTTAAGGCTCAGGGAGCATGTTAAATAAAATATCTCATGGCATCCTTACAACAACCCTCTAAAATAGGAACTACAAGTATTATTATCCCCATTTTATAGATGAAGAAACTGAGACTCAGAGAGGTTAAACAAGTTGCTCACAGTGTAGAAGTCATAATTTGAACCCAAGTCCAGCACACTTTCTATTATAGGATCTTAGAACAGAGAATAATATAGTCGCGGATTTTGAGCAGGAAGGAACCTTTGAGACCACCTGGCTCATTGCCCGCCTTTTGCACCTGAGAAAGAGGAGCACCAGAGAAGGAACGACTTCCCAAGATCACAAATAAAGTTAGTTTCCTTTGTGTAAAACGTGATGGAAGTTTGGGGAGACAGTGAGATGGGGAGACAGCCACGTACAAGCACACACAGATAAATAACCAAGCATTCAGCAAGTTCTCTGGGCGCCTGACTTTCTGATGTTTGGAGGGAGGTGGGCAAAATAACCTCAGCTACCAGGTCTTGACCAGGAACTTTTAACCATATCCTTTAGACAAGTTCTCTGTTTGTCTCTGTATTTTTCCTCTCCCAGTTTTGCTGCTTTCCAGCATGATATTTTTTTCCTTCTCTCCCTCTCTCTCTCCCTCCCTCTTCTCCACCCCCGCCCCCTTACCGAGAAAGGAATTGGCTACGGCTCCACCCAGACAGAGAAATGACCTAGCTGGGCCAGGCTCTGGAGTACAGAGGGTTAACAGTTGCACCTGTTGAGGTGTACCTGCCTTCTCGGGCACCTGTCTCCTCAGCCAATCAGGAGCCACCCTTCAGGGAGCCAACCTGTCAGCAAAGTACCTACACGGCAACCCGACCATAAATCAAACATTCACTCCACGGGCCATGTCTGTATTGGGCAGGATTTAGAAGAGAACAGTTGGTCCCATCCGCCGGATTGGGGAAGGTGCTTGAAGATTTGGAAACCTGGGAGAACATGTCGAATGAAGTAGAGTGAGTACCAAACTGCAGTTGTCTGTCTTCATGTCACCGGTCGCAGTCTGAGCTTGAGCCCGAGCCCCGCTCTGCACCGCTTTTACCGCGGCCAGAGAGTTTCCTGGGCTGTGTGGGTTGGAACCATACAGTAATTTGTAAGGGTAAATGAATGGGCAAAGACTCTCTCTGTCTCTATGCGTGTCAGGACAGGCCCCCCCTAGGGCAAGAGTACAGGCTGTTTCCCTGGGAAAAAGAGATTTTTTTTTCCCCTGGAGCAGTTTCGAGCCCGGGCAGGGGTGTCCAAGACTGAAACTCGATGGGAAGATTCTTAGCAGACGGCGTTGGCACCCTTGGAGAGGCCTCGAGGAACCAGGAGATTTCTACACACACACAGACACACACACACACACCCCCACAGACACACACACCCCCACAGACACACACACACACACACACCTCCCCCTTGCTCATTCTCTAGTGTAAGAGGGTCTTCTTTAATCAGCAAACCAAATGTTTCGGGCTTTTTCTGAACTTTCTGTAAGTGATGGTGCCAGAAACCAACTGAACTATTGAGGGTGTTTTCTTGAACTCCTAGAGGGGAAAGAAAACTGTGGGTTCTTTCTTGTAAACATGTGGTACTTCAGAACCACATCTCCAGATGTCTGCTCGGTAAAATGTGCCGAGGGGGGGGGGGGCGGGGGGGGGGGGGGGGGGGGGGGGGGCAAATCTAGAGGATCTCAAGGTCCCTTCTACCGCTGACATAGTAGGTTCTAACATTCCATAGTCTAAGATCCCTTCCAGCTCTAACATTATGAGTTCTAATATTCTGGAAATATAGTCTGTTCTAAGGTCCTTCCAAGCTCTGACATTCTATGTCTTAAAACACCTTCCAGGTCTGATATTCTGTGTTCCTAGGTTCCTTTTGCTGATATTTTATGATGTGATATATGATACGACATGATATGATATATGATTACTGGTTATAGTTGCCGTTCCCCTAATCCAAACTTTGACAAAGGCCCTGGATGGGATGCTGAGAGATTGGGATTACTGCACCCGTTCTTTCCTCCTCTCCTCCCTCTCCCCACCTCAAGGAAACCGGAAGACAAAGACTGAGATGCCCTCCCATCCTCCCTAGGGACCTCAGATCTTTAAAATGGAAAGGGCTTCCCTTCACACCAGTCAAGTCGTTGCGGGATAGATGGTCAAAGGCAAGGTTTGCAACTCTTCTGACACTCTGTTTAAAGCCTTGAAAAAGAATCAGTGCTGGGGCCAGGCAGGGTTCTGCCATTCCTCAATCTGGCCCAATTTTACCCTTGTAATGTGTGCAGGCTCCCATCACTCTGTCTGTGCTTTGGCATCCATCTTCTTAAGAGCCACAGGCTCCAAGGAGCCATCCCTCAATTAGAAAGAAGAGCAAGACATTCCTCTAGGGCTTTAAAGTTCACCTAGCATTTCCTTCGGAACAACCCCGGGAAATATGATTACGCCCATTTTCCAGATGAGGAGTCAAGCTCAAAGAGGAAATGATTTGGCCAGGTCACACAACTAGTACGCCTTGCTGCCTCTTGAAGCCTGGATCTCCATACTTCTAAATTTAAAACTCTTCAGTCCAAGAGGAAGCTAACTTCTTCCAAATCACCAACGCTATCAGCTAGCCAACCTCGCTGTAAGATAAGTAGGGAGCCAGGGCTTCTGAGACAGTCCAACTTTTCCTACTAAACTTGGTGGAAGCAGAAGGGGTTGGTGCTTCGGGCTGCCTTCGGAGCCCAGGCCACTGAAGCCACAGACTCAGTCTAGATCTGAAGGCAGATTCCATTTACAATTTCCTCCCCAGCCCTGTACGTGTCCCTGACAAACTGCTAAGGTGCTTCCATTTGAAACTCTCTCTAGCGCTCTCTCTCTCTCTCTCTCTCTCTCTCTCTCTCTCTCTCTCTCTCTCTCCCTCCCTCCCTCCCTCTCTCCCTCTCTCCCCCTCCTTCCCTCCCTCCCTCCCTCCCTCTCTCCCTCTCCCTCTCCCTCAGGAACTGACTAAGCCTTAGGATTTTTGGCTGAGGGTCTCACGAGGACGGTTTCAGTACATGAAAAGGAGGGGGAGATAGGGGCAGGGGCGGAGCGACAGCTTCATTGGAGGGGTGGGGTTCTGATGCAGGGAGGAAGGAGATGGGTAATTGTAGGTAACCTTCCGAGACCACAATTTCAGCTCACAATAGGTAGCCTGAGCTCAGGCCCCGAGGCTGAGCAGGCTGAGCAGATAAGGAGGATGAGAACCGGGCACAGCTCCGATTCACAGTTTCCCTGACAGCGTTTGTTGCAGCTTCCAGAGCTGCAGCAGACCTGCAGGGCTGTCGTCTCTTCAAAGCATTGCCAAGGAATGCACCGATAGGAGTGTTTGGCTCCCAGGAAGGAAACAAACCCATTAGTATTTAGGATGTTAAAACTGGAAGGGACTCTGAGACAGAGATCAGATCTGCAAGAGAGAATTTAGAATACAGAATGTCAGAACCAGGAGGGTCATCAAAATCCAGAATGTTAGAGCTGGGAGGGTCCTTAGAAGAGAGAATGTTAGAACTGAGAGGGAGACCTTAGAACAAAGAATGTTGGAACAGAGAACAGTGGAGCTATAAGGAGACTTAGAACTTAGCATGTTGGGGAGGAAAGGTACCTTACAACATTTCATCCTCTGTATAGCTCTGTGCTTTGCATATAGTAAACACTGAATTCCAGTAAATGCTTGTGGCTGTATGAATGGGTGGATGGTTGAAGGAATACAGAATGAACTGAAGGGGGCTTAGAATGTTAGAAGAGACATAAAAAGAATTGGACAGAGAGAGACAATTCTAAGGTACCTTAGCAATCATCTGATTCAAGCTTTTCAGTTGTTAGATGGAAGAATGGAGGTCCAGGGAAGGGAGGCAACTTGCCTAGTGTCACACAGTGATTTTGTAGGCTTGACTCTCTGAACATTTTATGTAATGCTTTTGGGTCTTAACAAACATGGTGGCTTGTTAGTTGCATCAGAAGCTAACACAACTCAGCCCACAGGGTGGCAGGCCCAGCCCGCTTTCATGTGGTCTGGTCCCAACATGGGGCTGTGTCACCCAATTGAAATCCACCCCCTTCTTCCTTTCACCAGTCCCTCCTCCCCTCAGCCCTTTGCTGCCCTCTGGTACCTCTAGGCAGCAGAGGACCCTGGGGGAATCTGGCATTCCTCACCGGAACTGGGAACCGGGAACCCAGAGCAAAAAGGTTGCCTAATGAGCTCTTCTGGTTGGGGAAACAGACAACTTGTCTGCTTCCTGAGGGTCAGATCTTCCTGAGTCCTGGCCATGATCCCTCTTGCGGTCACTGAGTCTCTGTGTCTGGGTTTGTAGCTCTCCTAGCTGGGCTTTGAATGAGAAGGGCCTGCCAAGAGGGGTGAGTGGCTAACTTCAGGGGCTGGTCCCCATATGCCCTCCAGCACTGAAGAAGCCATCCCTAGACCCTTGTTCTCAACAGATCAGCCTATTTCTCCCACTTCCGGGATCATAGATTTGCAGCTGGAAGGAACCATAGTAGTTACCCAATCCAACTCTTACATTTTTCAGATAAAGAAAGTGAGGCCCAAAGAGAGACAGAGACCACAAAGGGAAGGGCAGAGCTGGGATCTGAACCCACAGCTTCTAACCAGAGTCAGTTCACAAGAATTTATTAGGCATCTACTGTGTGTCAGGCAGTGTGCTAAGTGCTGGGGATGTAAAGAAGACAAAAAAATATCATTCCTACCCTGAAGGAGCTCACATTCTAGTTGGGGAGACAATTGTGCATCTATAAGATATTCACAGTATAAATGGTAGATAATTTGAGAGAGAAGGCACAGGAGACGGGGGCACCTGGAGTTTCATAGCATACCCTGTTTGCCTTCTGGAATCTTTTCCCTGTCCTATTGCTGGGTAGAACCTGGGAGAAGCATCCAATTAGAATAGGGTAGGGATAGAGGAGCTGAAGAAGTGAATAATAGCAGTTATGGCTATCATTATATCTCTTTAAGGTTAACAAAGCACTTTCCCCCATCACAACCCTAGGAGGCAAGTAGTAGTGTTATTCCCATTTTGAAGATGAGAAAACTGAGGCTGAGAATTGTGTTTAACTCACCCAGGGTCACACAGTTTTGTCATTATAGAAGCTGAAACTTGAACCCAAATCCCTATATATCCTTTTCACTGTACCTAGGGAAACACAGCCTCGGGTCTGACACGGGCCCACTGAGGCCAGCCTGACAGCTGCTACCTGCTCTAACTGCTCCAAAGCCATGAAAGAGTTAACCAGGAGCTCCTCCCTGCTGTGGTTTTGTGGTCGAAACCATGATTGCCAGGAGCACATTTTTGTCATACACGAGGTGTCTTATTAAAAGTTGAGTTACGCTCCTGGTGAATGAAAAGTTAAAAGCCATCATTAAGTCCTGGCTGTAAAGCTCACCGAATAGGTTGACAGCATGGCCATCCCAGCAGCCCCAGCTATTGGCAAGCTTTCTAGCCTCTGAACCGGCCTCCTAACCACGGACAGATTTTATGAGCCAGCTGGCCTGCCTGCCTGCCTCCCTCCTGAGGGTGTCATGCTCCCTGCCCCAGCCAGCTGGTCTCTCCTCTTCACCATTTGTGTCCCACTGAGTCAGCACCACCACCACCACCACCACCAGGACCACCACCACCACCAGGAGAGCAGCCCGGGCACAAGGGAGGCAGCCAAGCCCACTGCTCAGCTCAAATCTCTCTAGCTGTGGCTGTGTGTGAAGGAGGGAGGCGGGACCAAATGTTCTCCGGGAGCCTTCCAATTTGAAGACTTAACCTGCACTGAGCAAGGCTCTGGGGACACAGACCCTGCCTTCAGGAAACTCTTCTTCTTTTGTAGGGAAATAACACTGACCTAGGAAATTAAATGCACGATCTATGCAAAGGGATTCCCACTGGGGAGGGCCCTAAGGCTAAACTCCTTGTGGATGAAGCTGAGGGGGCGCATTCTAGGCAGGGAGCAGGTGG